TAGTGTGAAAATGGCTTTATTATCCAAAGCAATCTACATGTTCAATGCAATTCCCATCAAAATTCCAATGACATTCATCACGGAGATTGAAAAATCTACCCTAAAGTTCATTTGGAAGCACAAAAGACCACAAATATCCAAGCAATACTGAGCAGAAAGAGCAACACTGGAGGTATCATAATACCCAACTTCAAACTATATTACAGAGCCATAACAGTAAAAAACAGCATGGTACTGGCACAAAAACAGACATGAAGATCAATGGAACAGAATAGAAGATCCAGATATGAGTCCATGCAGCTATGCCCATCTGATTTTTGACAAAGGTTCCCAAAACATATGATGGAGAAAGACAGCTTCTTCAACAAATGTTGCTGAGGAAAGTGGATATCTGCAGAAAACTAAAACTAGATCCATGTCTTTCACCTTGTACAAGTACCAACTAAAGTAGATTAAGGACCTGAAACATTGAAGCTAGTGTAGGAAAAAGCAAGAAATACACTGGAACTAATGTGCATAGGTAATGACTTCCTCAGTAGAACTCAAATTACTCAGCAACTAAGAGAAAGGATTAACAAATAGGACTACATGAAACTAAAAAGCTTCTGCACAACAAAAGAAACAGTCATCAGATTGAAGAGGCAGCCCACAGAATGGGAAAAAAACCTTTACCAGCCTATACATCTGACAAAGGATTAATAACCAGAATGTATAGGGAACTCAATAAACCAAACTCCCAAAAAAAATCAATGACCCAATGAAGAAATGGGAAAATGAACTGAACAGAGCTTTTTCAAAGTCCAAATGGCCAAAAGACTCATGAAGAAATGTTCAACATCCCTGACAAAGAAAATGCAAATCAAAACCATGTTAAGATACCACCTCACTCCTGTTAGAATTGTTAGAATAACTGTCATCAAGAACACAAGTGACAACAAATGTTGGGAAGGATTTGGGGAAAAGGGAACCTTCATCATCTTGTGGTGCTCCATTGTAACTACCCCCAAACTTAATGGCTTAAAATAATAATGATTAACATCTTCTTATGATTCTAAGAGTTCACTGAGTGAGTTTTCTACGAGGTGAGCCTAGGACCACACATACAGCTGCGTTCAGCAAGAGTTGGCCCAGGGATGAATTCAGCTGGGAAATCTGGACAGCTCTTTCACCATATGGTCTTTCCTGCTTAAGGAGGCCAGACCAAGCTTCAGACATGATGGCAAGATGGCAGACTCCAACGAGGAAGCTTTTTTAAGCTTTTTGTTTGCTGATGCCATGTTAGCTGAAGAAAATCACATAGCCAAGCTCAGTGTCAATTTAGGAAGAGACTATACAAGGAAATGGATATTTGGGTATACAACTCATTGATTGTGTAACAATCAGTCTACCACAACTATCAGAGCAGGAGGCAGTAGACTTTTTCGTTACAGTCCAGATAGTAAGGAGTTTAGGCTTTGCAGGCCGATTAGTTCTGTCACAACTTCTCAGTTCTTTTATTCAACAGTGGCAAGGTGTAAATAAGTGAGCATAGCTTTGTTTCAGTAAAACTTTATTTCCACTAATAGGCAGTGGTCTGGTTTGATCCACCACTAATCTGTTACGAAAGCCCTTATCCAGTACTTGCAGAAAGGGAAGAATTTTGGCCCTTTTATGCTTTGACTCAAAAGTATCACATGTGAATTCTGCCTTTACCCATTGGCCAAAAGTAGTCACATGACTGCAGTATAATCTTGCTGTGTTTTAGAAGAAGAGAAAACCTAGGCACTGGCAGAGGCTAGAAGTCTTTGTCATGGGACCCTCTTTTCAAAAGTGGCCACTTCAGTCACCTGCCTGTTTTTCTTGAGGACCAGGCACTGAGTTTAAGTATGAAAAAACTGGACAGAAAGCTTTTGTTTTGATGGAGTTCACACAGAGACCAGGAAGGTTACTACATAAGAGAAGCACTATATGTACCTTCACTCCAGAACTGTTAGTCATCGTCTATTTGTGCACTTAGCAACTCAAGGGTATGATTTTCTCTTCTCTGATGATGGTTTCTTTGCAGGTACTCTAGGAATTTGTCAAAGAATGGGTGGAATGATTGAGTGATCAAACCATCAGACCAAAACAAGGATTTCCTTTAAATTTCTAGGGTTCTAGGAATAGGTGCTCAATCTCTCTCTTTCTCTCTCTCTCTCTCATCTCATTTCATCTCATCTCATCTCATCCCCTAATTTCTACAGCTACAGTACATTAAAAGTTTAGGTTAGTTTGCTTTCTTTCAAAACTCCCTGGGCAGTTAACAGAAACTGTCACCTTGTCTTATTATCTTACAACACCGAAGAGCCTTCATTTCATAATGCCTGAAAATTACTCTAAGAATGAGCTGAATACTATTTTCCTATTCCAATCCTCTCCTTTCCTCCTTTGAGAGATGGAGGATCTGGTTTTTAGCACTCTCACTAAAAGCCTGGGTTATGCACTGAAGTTATGGCCAGTCATTGAGAAAATGGATATAAATGGGAACATAGAGCCTAAAAAAGGTTTGTGCCAAGTGAATAATTGTCTTTTAGCCTCGGAAAAAGCTACTTGCTTATATCATACATGGGTGGATTTCATCATTGGAAATATTTTTTAGAAAATACTCATTTTATTTTAGGTTCATGAGCTGAGCCATTTTAATTCCAGATTTTATCATAATCAAGTTAAAATACTTTTTTTTTAGTACTGGCACTTAAGCTCCAAGTTAAATTTTTATGTTGGAACAAATAGAGCAAATTCAGGATACAGAGTTCTTTGAAATAGATATTTTTGCAAAACAATCCACTTGGGAGACAGGAACATAAAAATACAGATACAGCAAATTGACTCATTGTTCTCAAGAAGTTGACAATCTGGTGATTGAGTCAGATCTATGAACAAGTAACATAATATACAAATAGGGAAATTGGTAACCAAGTAGAAATCTGGTTTAAGTGCTTTTTGAATGTAGGAGTAGGTGTCAAACTGAGGAGGGGGGATAGAAAATTAAAGAATAGCCTCATGGAATAAGGCATTAAAAACTGTATTTAAAAGATGCACAGGATTTTGAAAGGACTTGCATGAGGCAGTGTGTGTTCTGGGCACAGGGAGTGGTGACTAGCATGCAAGGGCCTAGTCTAGGGCACTAGCTAGGCGGAGGTGAGGATCAGAGCACAGCTGGGCTGCAAAGGAGGTAGAAGAGGCAGAGATGACATGATGCTGGATGCTGAAGATGGTCAGGATTTCTAAGGGAGTAGTCATTGCACCAGAAAGAAGCCTAGTACACATGTGAATCTGTGACTTCCTCCTATGTATCGGTGGATGCTCTCTCTTGTACCTCTTTGTGTGGTCAGTTAGAGTACATTTGTTACTTGTCAAGCACCTGCACACCCATGTTTATTGTGGCACTATTCACAATAGCCAAGTTATGGAAACAGCCAAGATGCCCCACCACCGACGAATGTATTAAGAAAATGTGGTATCTATACACAATGGAATTTTATGCAGCCATGAAGAAGAACGAAATGTTATCATTCGCTGGTAAATGGATGGAATTGGAGAACATCATTCTGAGTGAGGTTAGCCTGGCCCAAAAGACCAAAAATCGTATGTTCTCCCTCATATGTGGACATTAGATCAAGGGCAAACACAACAAGGGGATTGGACTATGAGCACATGATAAAAGCGAGAGCACACAAGGGAGGGGTGAGGATAGGTAAGACACCTAAAAACTAGCTAGCATTTGTTGCCCTTAACGCAGAGAAACTAAAGCAGATACCTTAAAGCAACTGAGGCCAATAGGAAAAGGGGACCAGGAACTAGAGAAAAGGTTAGATCAAAAAGAATTAACCTAGAAGGTAACACCCACGCACAGGAAATCAATGTGAGTCAATGCCCTGTATAGCTATCCTTATCTCAACCAGCAAAAACCCTTGTTCCTTCCTATTATTGCTTATACTTTTTCTACAACAAAATTAGAAATAAGGGCAAAATAGTTTCTGCTGGGTATTGGGTGGGGGGGAGAAGGAGGGGGCGGAGTGGGTGGTAAGGGAGGGGGTGGGGGCAGGGGGGAGAAATGAACCAAGCCTTGTATGCACATATGAATAATAAAAGAAAAATGAAAAAATAAAAAATAAAAAAAAGAAGGCACCTTACTTTATTCCTTCATCCAGGAATTTTCAGTCTTTCTTCTTTTATTTGCTGTCCTAACAATAATAAAGGGCCTAGACTTGGACTAAAATGATATTGCAAATCATCAGAATCAACATTCCCAGGCACAAGTTGGTTCTTGCCCTTGCCCTCAGGTAATCCTGGCTGTGAACACAATGTTCTTAGAGTTGTTTTTCACATAGTTCTGTTCTGTTTCCAAGTATTTATCCATTTAAGCAACATTGGTATTTAATGCTGAAAGGACATCTGTTTTCCTGGCCTGGCACCTCGTTTCTGAGATAGAACTGCTTTTTATGTCTCTGTCCACCTTCTCATGGTAAAAAAAAATTAATTTTGACTCTAAGCAAATTAACTTATCTAAAATTCTTACAACTTGTATGAGGGACTTTGGAGGAACTATGATGTGTCTTATTGCTGATTTGGAGTGCTTTCGTGCCTAGCATGTTAAGGTACCCCTGTAGTAGTAAATCCAACTCAAGAGCCTGAAATTCTTCTGCACAGTGCATGTCAAGTCCTCGGTCTTAGGGTTTTTCCATAGAGATCCATATGTACACATAAAGCTGGCCCCATGGCTGGCCTCTATCCCATACAGGGTTATTTGTCAATTGCAGAGAAACAAAGAATGAAGATACTCATGCCCCATCGTTCATCAGTTTTTTCTATGAGCCTTATAGCTGGATATTGAAAAATCTAGATTTGATTTTTTTTTTAATTTCAAGTCAACTGAATAGCCCATACACATGGAAATATAACCAGGAAGTGTTTGTAGTACTGAATCAGAACTTTTATTAGTGTTCTTACTTCTTTTTAATCTGAATATTCTTTTGCAGGTTCTTTTCCTCACTGGCTTTGGCTATGTGTATGTGGACGTTGTTCATCAGTGTGGCACAGTTTTCATCACTGTGGCCCCAGAAGGAAAAGCAGGACTAATTTCAACCAATCCAAACAGGTAGGTGTAATTATTTTCCCAGTGGTAGTATAGTAAGCTTTCCCATTATAAATTTGCAAAACTACTATTTGCCATTCTCTGTCATCCCTACACACTTTCTAAAACTTTTGATTAATTATAGTGTAATCCCTAACTAAAGATTTAGTTATTAGCATGAAGTCATACCTGTAATAGGCAGCAATGCATTATCTTTCTTGAGTCTCCCTTCTAGTTCTTCTGTGATAAATTCAACAAACTGACTTACAAAAATAATACATTCATCTTAGAATTAGCCATTATTGTTAACATGATGTGCAAGTTAACATTTCTATATACACATGACAACTTCACAAGTAATCAGACTAAGCAATTAGGGCTTTATTTCTTACAGCAACATTTTCCCCCTTTTACCTGAGTACTGCTATCAGGTTTAGATAATTCAATAGAAATAATATAAAGACACCCTCTCCTTCCAAAAACAAAAATAAGGGCAAAAGACATGAATAGGAAATTCTAGGTTAGAGGAAATATAAGTAATCAAAAAAATGAAAATGAAAACATAAATAAGATATTATTTATCAAATTAACAAAGATAGTCCACCATATATAGTCCTGAGAGAAGGGTAAATAGGTGCCATTTTCTCGAATGCACTTTAGCAAGGCGCTTTAAAATCCCATTGGCCTAGAAATTCCACTTTTTAAGAGTTTTAAGAGTTAAGAAAATAAAGACATGGGCAAGGATATACACAGAGAGATGTTTATAAGATTGATAATTATAGTGGCAAGGTATTCAAAGTACAAATACCCATCAGTAGGAAAATAGAAGATATATAAATGCTTCACAAATGGTGCATTACATAAAATAGGTGTTGTAGAATTTTAATGGAATAGAAAGATGCATATGATACAATCTAAAGCAAAGCAAGCAGAATATAACATTGACTACATAAATGTCATAGTTATGTGTCATCTGTACATATAGACACAGAAATACATATTTTAAAGGACTGAAAAAAGAATGAAAGAAAGAGCTAGACGCAGTAGTTCACACCTGTAATCCTAGCTACGTGGGAGACAGAGGTTAGAGGATTGCAGCCTGAAGCTAGACGGGCAAAAGCATGAGACACTATGCGAAAAATAACTAAAGGAAAAAAGGCTAGGGGCATAGCTCAGGTGTAGAGCACCTGCGTAGCAAGCACAAGGCCCTGAGTTCAAACCCCAGTATTGAAAAAAAAGACTGAAAGAAAAAGAAGCAATCAAAATTGTTAATAGATATGGGGTTGTAAGTTTAATAATTCTTGTATTTTAATTTTTATACTAGCATTTTATAATCAAAGTTTAATTACAGTTTAAATTAACAATGCTAACTTTCTTACATTTGTTTAGGCCTTTTAAAAAAAATTTCCTTACTTCTTATGTATGGCTAGAACTCATGAGTTTTGACCCCACTATTTCAAACAACATTGGATGGAATGTTTTCTTTGCCCCAAAGTGTAAAAAATTAAGAGTATGACAAAATTGGAGAGTAAATTTCAAATTATATAAATTTCAAGCCTACACAACAGTTTCAGAAACCTAGGGCATAAGTGTTAAATGATAATACCCACAAGCATACATGTGGAGGTAGAAATAAGAACAGTACCAATATCTACTGGCACTTCCTTGACTTGCATTTTATTGATCCATTTATGCAACAAATAGTTTTCAAGCACTTCCTGGATGCCATGTGTTGTTCTGGTGGCAGGGATACATCAACAAGTGAAAAGGCTGAAACTCTTACCCGTGAGATTACATTCTCATAGACATGAGATGGGGGAAAATAAACATAATAAAGGGAAATTTATGGTACAATAGGTCAGCATTCTACAGGAATGAAAAGAGCCCAGTATGAGGGGCCAGTAGTGACAGGGTCTAGGGACAGGAGAGTAGACTTTTAAAGAAGTCGGTATAGAGAGCCTTATCAAAGAAGCTGCATTAGAATTCAATTCAAAAGGAGCAAGGTGGTTAGTAGTGTGATCCTCTGAGGGTGGTGCTTTCCAGACCAGGGGCATAGCCATGCCTGTGCCTGTAGCAGTGTGCCTGGCATAGAGGAAGACAGGCCAAAGGCCAGTGTGGAGATGAATGTGAGTAGTGCATGAGACCAGAGAGATCAGGGCTGGAGGAGGGACACACAATTTAGGGCCTCATAGGCCATCATAAAAATTTAGTTTTAATTCTAAGTGAAATGAGGAAGTCATTTTAACATTTTGAACAGAGAAGTTTTGGCTGCTTTGTTGAAGTACGTCTAGAGAAATAGGGTGGTAGCTGGCAGGAAACTCTTATAGTTCAGAGATTATTATAGTTATTCACATTAGAGGCACTGGTGGCTAAGACCACCAGTATCTGTAGAAGTGGGTGGGAAGTTTGGAGTATACTTTTTAAGAAATGCCAGTGGGATTTCCCTGGTACATTGGATAAAGGTTGAAACTAGATGATTCCAAAATTTTGGGTCTAATTAGTTCGTAGGGTATGGTTTCCATTAACTGAAATGGGAAAGGCTGTGTGTAGGTTTAGGGTATAAGAACAAGAGTTAGATTACAGGGCTAGCAGAGTGGCTCAAGTGGCAGAGTTCCTGCCTAGCAGGCATATAGTCCTGAGTTCAATCCCCAGTATCACCAAAAAAAACCCCAAAGATTACAGACATGGTGAGCTGAGATGTCATTTAGATACCTAAAACTATTGGACAGCAGTTAGATACATAAGACTGGACTTAGGGAAGTTCTAAGCATCCACATATAGGTGATGCTTCAAGTCACAAGACACTCCCTGAGGATCGTGGGCTGAGCCATGGTTTTAGCCACAGTTACCAACAATTTAAGAGATCTGGAAGAGAAGGAAGGGTACACATAGATGGCTAAAGTTGTGTGATCAGAGAGGCAAAAGGTCTGAGAGAAGACAAGTAAAAAAAATGTGTCTGGGTGGGTGGAGCTCCCAACACTGTCATATGTCATTAGTAACTTGAGTAAGCACAAAACTGAAAGTCCATCATTTGCTTTAGCCAAATGGAAGTCACTGGCAACCTTGACAATCAGATTATTGGGGGGAGGGGGAAGGTGCACAAGTCTGCTTACAACAAGCTTACAGAAACAGTGCGGGCAACAGATGCTTTGGAGTTTTTATATAAAGGGAATCAGAGAACCGAGTGCTGGCATGAGAAAGAAGGAGAGTTACAAGAGGGGTTTTCTAAGAGAGGAGAAATAATGGCATGTTTATAAGTTGCTGGTAATGAAGAGACCAGTGAAGTGGGACAGGTGCATCACTGCAATGATGGCCTTGAGCAGAGAGTCCTGCAGTTCACTTTGGGTGCTCACTAAGGAGGAGTGTGTTGATGGGGGCTGTGGTTCATGCTGAGCTTTCTTCTACTGGCTTCATTTTTCAACTTAAGGAGTCCTAGTAATTTTATTTATCTTTCTATTTTGTGGTCATCATGACAGAGAATTAGTGCAAAAAAACTGGAATAAAAATCTGGTGTTGATAAGGGAAATACATACAGAAACATAACAAGGATTTGTAATAGTCCCCTTGGGAACATTTCCCAATACTGTTTGCATGTAGCTGGCTTTGTCCAGACACAATGTACTGAAAATTGAGTTCTTATCTATCTCTTATGAGAATGTGATGTCCTATCAGGAGGTGTTTAATAAGGCACTATCATTAAAAAAGAAGAAGAAAGAAAGAAAATGGTGTGGGGGGAGACTAATGTTCTTTTTCCTTTCTCTTCTAGAACTCTGGAGAAGATGATTACTGTTAAAATGTTCATCACACAGTTGAGCCTGACGGTGTCCAATGACCTCACTCACCACAGAGCATCGTCTGAACTTCTGAGGCTCACGCTGGACAATGTGTTTCTCCATGTGGCCCCTGTGGCTGGTGCCCTCCCTGGAGAAGAGCCCACTGCCACTTTCTTCCAGCTTTACTGTGTTGAGGTCTATTGTGGGGACCTGCAGCTGGACAACCAGCTTTATAACAAGTCCAATTTCCACTTTGCTGTCTTGGTCTGCCAGGGAGAGAAAACAGAACCTACTCAGTGTTCTAAAATGCAGAATCTCCTTATATCCAGCAGAGATTTGGAAGAATACAAGGAGAATTGCTTCATCAAGCTTTGTGCCACTGTAACTGAGGGCAAGAGCTTCTTGCTCAATGTCAACGAGTTCAGATTTGAGCTGAAACCTGCCCGGTTATACGTGGAGGACACATTTGTTTACTACATCAAAACTTTATTCAACACTTACCTTCCTTACAGCAGGCTGGCTCGTCCCTCTGCGCAGCTCTTTGGGGATAGACAGGTGCTGCCCATGCAGGTGAGACAGCACGCCAGGGCCTTGGTAAACCCAGTGAAGTTACGAAAGCTGGTCATACAGCCAGTGAGCCTGCTCGTCAGCATCCATGCTTCCCTCAAGCTGTACATAGCTTCTGACCACACTCCTCTCTCCTTCTCCGTGTTCGAAAGAGGACCCATCTTCACCACAGCAAGGCAGCTCGTGCATGCCCTGGCCATGCACTATGCTGCTGGGGCTCTTTTTAGAGCAGGTAAGGATACAAACAGAGCATCTGTGACAAGCTAGAGCCTAGGTAAAAATGACATGCATTGGTGTATGGCCTTACCTATTTCAAAACATAAGGAAGCAGTTAGAGGTAACACATGTAGGCATTGCAATTAAACAAGAATGGATCTAAAACTAGACTCTGGCTGTGTAAGGCTTTGGGCAAGTTATTAAATCTCCCTGAGTTGCCACTTGCTCATCTATACCGTGGGTTTTAAGATGTTTGAAATGGTCAGATGAAAGCATATCAAGTACCCACCTTGGCAATTAATAAATACTCAAGTAACAATAACTGTAATAGTTAACTTAGAATTTAATTCAATTTAGAAAACAGTTTTTTAGCATCTTGTAGCACAAGACCCTTTCTCAACACACTAGCGTAGCCAGAAAAAGAGCCCAGGGCCTCAGCTCCTGGGCCTAAAGAAAATCCAGTTTTAGGTGGTTAGTGTTCATTGCTGCTGTAAATAGCTGTAGGTGAGAAATTCAGAGGGCTCCTGTGCTCCTGAGGTGCACAAATAGCCTTCTACCTCTCCAGCACAGCACCAGCTGTTCAGACAGAGCACACAGAGAAGGCTGTTTAGTGTCTCAGCCTCTTCACAGACCCGAGCCCAGAGAAAAATGGTCCTTGCTCACCCTTACTGCCCTCTGGTGCCAGGCAGATGGCCTCCTGCATGCCAAGGCTCCTGTTTCTCAGGGGCTCATTGGGAGAGGGGAGGCTCTTGTTTTCAGTCTGGCTGGAAAAGTCTGCAAGGAGTGTTTGGTATGTGTAGAAAGTCTTGTATGGGGAGTACTGTGCACTGAACATTGAGTGTTGGACCACATGATCTCAAACTACTTTACCATAATAGAACCAAAGCACATGTTTCTGAGCCAAGTTCATTCTAAAGTAGTTTAAGTTTGATATCAGTCTCCTCAAGGTCCTAAGATTTGAAGCAGAGAGCAGCTTCCAGACTTGACTTTGTCAGCAGCCCACTTAAGTAAAGAACACACAAGTCTGAACTTTCTGAAAGTGGCAAAGGAGGGAACCTCTGTCCTAACCTCGTTAGGTGACCTTGTGCTTGGTGAAGGTATTGCCATAGAAGATATAGATTGTAGCAATAAATGACCCCTGTTATCATTGGTAAGATGCCAGTGACCATGCCATATTGGTAAGATTACATTTTCTCCATAATGAAATTCATAGGCCTAACAGGGCTGTCCAGACACTTTTGTAGAAGAAAATGACAAGATGAGGGAAAGGCCCTACCAGACCTGTTTTGATAGCTCGCACAATGAAGAAAATACTCCCTCTTGCTAAGAATTCATTTAAAATTAAACAGTGTTTCAAATTTAAGAGATGAGTATATTTACAAACCATACTAGAACCTTACTCTCTCAGGCAGTTTTGCTTTTAATATGAAAAGCAGACTGTAGGTTACTGAGCTCTGATCTGAGGCAGGGAAGAAATAAGGCTTCATGTAGTCACTGCATAAGGCCAAGATGCAGGAAGTACCCCTCCCGGAAATGAGCAGAAGGAGCAACTCCACCTGTGGCCCAAGTCCCCATGGTTGCTGCAGCCTGTGTGCTAAAGTGATCTCTCTGTTGTGTTGTATTTTGCTTTGTTTTGTGTTTTTAATGAGATTTCACAAGAACATTCTGTTTGGAATTTTCTGTAATTTACCTAAAAATTTTCTTACTATCCCAATCTCATTCTATACCCAGAGAAAAAATTCTAGTACAAAGGGCAAGTTTTTAGAGCCTGTCACTCCAAGTTTCTGGTCAGTCTGAAGATTAATCTGAAAAAAGCAGTGCTTGAAGAGTGGGAAATGGAAGGATAACTGGAGGCTGCCAAACCCCAGGAAGAGAAGTTTTGTTTTTGTTTTTGTTTTTCTTTTTTTGGTAGCACTAGGGTTTGAATTCAAGGCTTTCTGCTTACAAAGCAGGCGCTCTACCACTTGAGCTGCGCCTCCAGTCTATTTTGCTCTGGTTATTTTGAAGATAGGGTCTTGTGAACTATTTGCCCAGGCTGGCTTCTAACCACAATCCTCCCAATCTCAGCCTTCCAAGTAGCTGGGATTATAGGCATGAGCCACCAGGTAGAGAATTCTTAAAAGGAGTGGACTAGCATTCTTGTAGAAGAAAGAAGAGCACCGGCCTGGAAGTGAGCAAGTTGCTTTCACATCTCATTTGGGTCAACATTCACTCTTTGGACCCGAGAAGTTTCCTGGCTCTGATGGTCAAAAACACCCTGACCTAATTTCTAGGGAAGTTTGTAGAGTCATTTAAAAAGATTTTAAAAATAAATAAAATAGTAACTAGACATGAGTAACCCTATTTGAAGGAAAGAATGTGGGCTTAAGAATATCCTGAAGTCCCTGTCTACCTCCAAGTCTCCATTTGACACAAAGCCAGATAGACTCCCTTTATCAACAAAATTTCCAAATAATTAAGCAAAAGATATGCAGCTGGTCCTCTATGCATGGGTTCTGCATCTGCAGATTCAACCAATTGCACATTGGAAATATTTCAAAAAATAATTGCATTTATTCTGAACATTAGACTTTTCTTCTTATTCCCTGAGAAGTAGAGTATAACAACTTTGACACAGCATTTACATTGTAGTAGGTATTACAGGTAATCTAGATATGACTTAAATGTAAGGAAAGCTGGCCATGGTGGCTCACACCTGAAATCCTAGCTACTCAGGAGGCAGAGACTGGGAGGACTATGGTTTGATATTTCCTGAAGGAAAAATATTTGCTAGATCCTCCCCATCTCAACCAATAAAAAGCTGGGTGTGGTGGTACACACCTATCACCCCAATTATATAGAAAGCATAAATGGGAAGAGAAGATAGTAGTCCAGGCTAGCCCAGACATAAAAATGACATCCTATTTGAAGAAAACTAAAACCAAGAGTCTGGTGTCATGACTCAAGATGTACAGCACCTACCTAGTAAATACAAGGTCCTGAGTTCAAACTCAGGTACCTCAAAAAAAAAAAAAGCATAAGGGAGATTATGGATAAGTTACATGCAAATACTGCACCATTTTATAAAAAGTATTACACTACTCATATCAGACACTTGAGCATCATTAGATTTTGGTATCTGTAGGAGTCCTGGAACTAATCCCCATGGATGGTGAGAGTCGACTGTATTTGCTTTTGGAGGGGAAAATCATTTAAAAAGGCGTATCCTTGGATACTTTCTGTCCTTTTCTGGCCAGCTCAGATGCTACTGAGGTGAAGCCCTCCTGTCAAGCAGTGGCTTCAGACTTCTGTGGTTTTAACCAGGAGATCCAGCCCCACCCTTCATGTGGTTGGGAAGAGCAAAAAAGACCCCAGTAGCTGTGTGAGAGCTGAGTGAGGAGACTGGAACCTTCACCTGTGTGCTCTATACTGACTTGAACCGGCCTGTGGCAGGGAGGTCTCTGCTAGACAGGAGGTACTTTTCTTTGGAAGAGTCTTTAGAGAGGAGGGAAATTAGGATGTCTATAGACCATCTGTAGACTCTGCTGTTTCTTTACTTCCAGAGAGGGCCCTTCTACAGCACCCTGCCTACTCCTTGCAGCCTGTGCTTATGGAGGCAGTAAGGCTTTGGAATCAGATTAAGCTGAGTTCAAAACCCAGCCCCTGTGTCTCATCAGTGGAAGATTATGGGTACTTGAAGTGCTCTTTGAGCCTTGATGTCCTCCTTTTTCTACCTGACCATGAGACTGCTAGCACATAAGCAACAGCATGTTGGATTGGCCTGTACCTCCTGTGAAAAGTGCAGCCCTGACCCCAACAGCAGCTGAGTCGTCAGTGAGCTTGGTAGGATTTGCAATGAGATGAGGAGCTTCTCTCACACAAGTGCCGGGAAAACTAAATGAGTAATGTCCCACCCCACACGTTTTCCCATTTGTATTCTTCATCTTCTGGGAATTATTCTGTCCTCTGACCTAAATTCTAATGTTACCATCCTAATGATCCAGGAAAGAGGCAGGGCTCCAAAATTTATGAAAGTCCCTCTCTGCCTGTGCCAGGACTGGGACCCTTCAGGACCCTGGCCTGCCTCTTGCATAGTCACCTTCCTATCATACATATATGACTTATCTGAGGCTCTCTGTCACAGGGCTGGCCTCCAAAGGCATGCTGCTGAGGGAGATATGGCTCCCATTCAGGTCTTGTCCCCACAGCCTTCCCACTAAAGGGCCCTTAACACTGGGCTGGGGAGGTCTGTGGATTCCCAGAGAAAGCAGCCTTTTCAGATTCCTCCTCTCCTTGACCTTGACCTTTGCCTGCCCTACAGTCCTCTGAGCCCAGCACCTCCCCTTTTCCTCCTCCCTGGGCAGATGTAGAAGGACAGCCACTGTGGACCACAGCACAGCCTCATTTCTACAAGACAGTAGACAGAGATCAGGCCACTGAGTAAGCTGGCTCCTGGCAAATCCCAGTACAAGTAGGAAACCAGATCCAAAGCTACCCTCCTGGGACATCCTCAGGGAACACTCCCCTCTCACTAACCTAATCAGCATGTCCCTGTCAAGTGATGTTTACACAACCCAACCTAGGGCTGAAGGGGAGACATTTGTCTGGCTCTAACTCTGCTCCAAAGGGAAGCGCTCAACTTGGTAGGATTGGGAGAGATTAAAAACTAACCCCTCCATCCTTGTCAGAAGTTTGCATCCTCTTTGCAACACCCCATTTAGCACTGGGTGTCTCTTTCTCCTGCTGCCTGGCTGCCATGCAGGTTTAGAACGATGCCCCTGCCTGGGAGCACCTGCAGCCCCAAGAGTCCTCCCTGGGCAGGTGGGAGTACATCCCCTACACACAGATCCCTTTGCAGGAGTGCAGGAAGCTCAAGCAAGGAAGTCATATTAAAGCCATTTGTGAAGCTGGCACAGGATCACTATGATTTATAAAGTATGAAAGTTCGCCATTTATGAATTCACAGTGAATGAGTTATTTCCCATATTTTGCTCCAACAAAGCTTATTATATTCTCAATTCTGTGAGAAATGACTTGCAGGGAAAAACGGGCCATTTTTTTACAGATGTTGAAAGTACTGTACTCAAGGTTTCAGTAACCCTTTTCCTTTGGTGCATTGCAGGCTGGGTGGTGGGGTCTCTGGAAATTCTTGGCAGCCCAGCAAGCTTGGTGAGAAGCATAGGAAATGGAATCTCCGACTTCTTCAGGCTTCCATATGAGGGACTGACCCGAGGCCCCGGGGCCTTCGTGAGCGGAGTTTCCAGAGGGACCACATCGTTTGTGAAGCACATTTCCAAAGGTAGTTCCTTGTGGTAATGCCCTAACTTCGCTCCGTCCTCGTCTTACTCCTCATTTCTAAGAAACAGTGTTAAAGTTTTAAATGTGTTCACATTGCCTCCAGCTTTGTTTGCCCTGATAGCTCGCAGTGAAATGTTGAACTTGTAACAAACCTTATATGTAATTCCTTATGTTTTAAACAGATCACTACTTGCCTGTAGTATGTGAAACTATTTCAGAAACTTTAGTATTTTAAACTTCCTATTGGGAAGATAAGGATTGGCCCAACTGTTATTTCATATGATAAACAGAAATATTAAAGGTGTTCAGGATTTCTGCTAAACATCAGAAATCCAACAGTGTTGCCTCATCATATTTTTTTAATGTAGATACAGTTGTAACTTTCTTAACGATGTGGATACATTTTGACATAGAAGCTGATTTGGAGGTGAAACAGCCAACTTTTCTCTAGCATGCTACGTAAACAGTGCCATCTTGTGGTCCAGATAAGTCACCAGGCACAGAGGCCAAACTGCTTCCTACATGAAAGAGAATGTTTTCATATCATCCGAGGGTGTTTGCCTGATATTTTGGTCAGATTGGCAGTGACTGAGGAACTAACAAGGGCCATCTGAGTCCCTTTTTCTTCTCAGTAGGAGGCAGGGAAAACAGGGCAAAGGCCTTCTTCCCCATAAAAGGCATTTTACTGTAGACAGTCCTGAAACTCCATTATGAGTGGGCAGGTTGGGGAAGTCTCTAGAAATCCTCAAAAGAAGACCTGAGCTTGAAATATGAAAATCCATGCTCCATGGGGGGGGGGGTATGGGTGGGGCTGGCAAGAGAACAGCAAGAGCAATAAAACATTCCATGGACAATGAAAAGGACTCTCCCCTGGCCCCAGATCCTGAGCAGCTTGTGAGCTCGGCTGCTCTCACATGAATCCCTTGGCAGGTTTCTCATTCCTGACACTAGAGTATCTGTGGTTCTGTTGTTTTTATTTTAAAATACGACAACAAACACGTGCTAAATTGAACTTAAGTGGTAATTTTAGCATCTTAACTCACTGAATATTTTTATACTTATTCTTCCCTCTTAGCAAAATCTGTTTGGTTTGTTAGGGTGTGTGTGTGTGTGTGTGTGTGTGTGTGTGTGTGTGTGTGTGTTTTCAGATGACTGGTAAAGATGCTGCCGCAAAAACATCTGCCACTTCTTCTCCAAACTAAGATGTTCAATAGTAAATGAACTGGCTTGTTGGCTTCAGGACATGCCCATCCATGCCTTCCAGGGTTGCTTGTTGAAATGTGTGCGGACTCCTTTGAACAAGTGACTGAAGTCAGCCTTCTTAGGAAAACCAGGCAGAATCATAGCTTCACTCTCTTTGCTGTCCTCACTTTTTCAGTTAATGGCATGAATACCAAAATTGCATGTGTTCTATCTTGCACAATAATTATTTCTTCAGAGTGCCATATGATAAAACTTAGTGTCTCCTTTTATTAAGACTTAAGTCATATATGGGTGTAGTGGTGCATGCCTGTCACTCAGGACATTGAGGCAGGAGGGTCATGAATTCAGGCTACTCAGCAAGACTCTGTCTCAAAAACTAAAAATAAAAATAATAAAGTCATAAAGGAGGAGATAAATGTTATTCCTAAAGTGGAAACATTTCTTTACAGTCTGTCTAAAATTCAACAACATAACCTTAACCTTTAAAATCAGAGCAGGCAAATTTTAACCTTCAAAACTGGGCCTCATTGAGGACTTCAAAACTATTTAACTAAGTCTTGACAATGAAATGATAGGAAGGATGTGACACTCTAGCCCTCTCTTTGCCACAGAGATTGTTACTTAACAATCTTGAAGCATGTCATCACACTCGTGGAAGTTTTCTTAAAGCTCTTGCTTCAAATTGCCCAGGAGCACTACCCATGGAGCACATCCAGGAGGAACACAAGAGTTGCCACTGCCCTTTCTCCCCACTCTCCCCACCCAGACCTCCAGGACCACTACTCTGGGGCCACCTTGCCTGTGTCACAGAGGCCAACACCATCTCTTGTGCCCTTAGGTACCCTCACATCCATCACCAACTTGGCCACCAGCCTAGCTCGGAACATGGACCGGCTCTCACTGGATGAGGAGCACTACAACCGCCAGGAGGAGTGGCGGCGCCAGCTCCCTGAAAGCCTCGGTGAGGGGCTGCGACAGGGCCTGTCTCGGCTGGGCATCAGCTTGCTTGGTAAGGAGCTGCAGGAATTTCCTTCATCTGTGCTACAGTCTGCAGGCTGCGGTCAGGCTCTCCCAGGACTGGCAGTTTTGCCTTCTCCCTGGGGAGTGGCTATGACGTTCACCTCCCTTCTGTAGGCAAAGCTGTGGCTCAGAGAGGATATGGCATGTCCCCTGGTGCCTACAGTGCATCTGTAGAACTCTGGGACAAGACCCCATTTCCTAGTTCCATTGTGGGGCCATGACAAGGTCATCCCAGGACCTGCCAGGTAAGAAAGGTGGCCCAAACAACGCCTATGCTTGGCCTTCCTTTGCCCCTAGCAGGAGAGGTAACTTTGTCCTCTGCATAGTTCTCCAAAGCAAAGGATAATTGCATAGGACACCCCCTGAGCAAAGTGGTGTCCACACAAGCATAGCGATATACATGCTGTTTGTTTTTTGAAGTGAATAACAGGCAACCCTCTGAAGCACTTGCTTCCCACTACCACACACACTGCAGATGCTTGCTTTTGTTTGAGCAGCGTGCACATGCCATGTAAACTTTGGTGAAGAGCTGGCTTCTCCTTCTATTTATTTATTTTAAATCAGCCTTACTCAGAGCAATTACTGTTTGTGGAGCAGCCAGATGGTATAGTTAGAGGTGAAGATTGCTATGGTTATTTCAAAGTATTACAAATGTTTGAATATAAGTTTCTTTGGAAAAATCTATAAAAGGGAAGCTTCAGAGCTAAACGTGTGCAGTGCAGGATCTTCAAGGGAATTTTGTTTGTTTGCTTACAAAGGAATTTAAGGTTGTACTGCTTGGCACCCTGCCTTCTGTGCATCTGAGGGAGTGTACGCCTAGCAGAGATCAAAGTGACCAAAACAGTGCAGAGCACAGGGTAGAAAAGCGGAGCCTGAAAGGCTTCATCCTCTTTCCCCTTCAGTTCTCCTCACAGCTCCTCGTTCTCCTTATAACTCCTCGGCCCCAGCCCCGCAGCACAGCCAGCTGAGGCTGTGGGAGGAAGCAGTAAAATGTTACAAGTGCAGGTTAAATTACTAGAAATTATTTAAGCAATAACAGCCAGGGGTGTGGGGCACTGTCACTTGATAATGTGTGGAACACAGGAAGCTAGTGACCTGCAGTGAATGTGCTAGGTAAAGGAGCCATCCCTGCTTGACTGAGCTATCCAGTAGTGATGGGAAAGGTAGTGTGGTACAGCAGGTAGACCACATTCCTCAGGATTGCAGTCCCGAGGATAGAGTATCAAAGTCCTTTCTTTGTGACCCAAGGCAAGTTCTTAACTTCTCTGGTCATGGGTTTATGTTTTGTAAATTGGAGCTGGTAATACCATTATTAGAAATAGCAATGGGCAGGTGGGGGGCCAGGCATAGAGTCCATACGGGCAGACAGCACATGTCAGTGTTACATTCTGGCAGCACACAACCTGTAAGGATTAACTGGTTTCAAAGTGTGTTCCAGCAAAGAGAGGCATTTGAGCAAGTGTAAGATTATTCTTGTTTTAGTTAAATCCAATAGATTAAGTTGCTATAACCAGAGGAAGTGACAATGAGTTTATCTTGGAGGTATCGGATAACCATTTTAGGACTTCAGGACATTTTTATGGTAAGAATTTGTGCCTTTAACACTGGGTATGAAAGCCCCTTTCCCCCATCCAAGTGCTTCCTGGAACTTCCAGGTAATCAAAGAGGAGATCTGAGCTAGCTGATGCATGGCTGGCTCTACCCTGATCCTGACTTCTTTCAGGTCCTAACAGTCTGCTCTCTTCCCCCCTGGAACTTTTACAGTCTAAAAGTGTACTTGCTGGCAGAGATCAGCCACATGAAGGGCCATGAATCTGTTCTGGGGAAGTCACTCTTTGGGCACAGCTTCCATGTACAGGGTAGGAAGTCATAAAGCCCTGGTCTTTGCTTTGGTCATTGTGTCTTGTATCTTCTCCATGCTGTCTGTGGAAATGGCAGTGGGCTAACATGGTATTCCTGAGTCAGGTAATTTCCAGAAACCTGTGAGTTCTAGGGTAACATAAGTGCTCTCTTGGTGTCTACGGGTATACCTGCTGACACTGACCTACCCAGACCCCCCCAGTCCTAGCCTAGCACACACCCTGAGTAGCACAGGTATTTCTGGACTCCTCAGAGTTCATAGTGGGTGTCTCCAGCTTGGCCAAAGCAGCTTTCTTTCCTCCAGGGTTTTAAGAGCCCATCTGTGTCTCACAGAATCTCTGGATTAACTCACAATGCCTGGCCTCAGAACTGCCAGCTGAATGGCAGGAAGAAAAGAGGAGGAGCAGGAGCAATCAGGTCTCCTTGCTTTAAAAAGTATAGGTTTGTCATCATTTCATTCGTCCTCATAAATTGTGCTTAAAATTGCCACATGCAATTAAGTGCCTAATTGAATTAGAGCTATTATTATATAATAGTTTGAAATCCCTGGTTGGGAAATTGAATTTCTAGTTGTGCAGTTTCTTCCCTTATAAAACAGAAACTTTAATGACCCAATTAGTAAAAATACACTTGAACATTTTAGGGTTGAGAGAGCACTTTCACATGTGTGCTCTTCACAACCCTAGGCATGGATGGAGTTAAGTGACTGCTCAGACCAAACTTCCAGCAAGACAAGAACCTGGGCCTTTCTGGTGCAAAGATCTGCCCCTGGGGTTCCTAGCCTGGAAACAATCAGGGTGTGGGGAGACTTAACAGTTGAAAGTTCCAGGGCAGGAAAAACATATTTCCCCCGAATGTATCTCATTTTCAAGAGCCTTCATGAGTTTTCATGTTTCACCCTCATGGAAACAACTGTGGAGTGCTGTGAGGCACATAAAAATCAAAGGAAGTCTTCAACGGCCCCAGATCAGCAAGGAAGAGTATCTGCCAACAAAGAGAGGCTACCGGGGCTTTTGGATGAACTCCACAACAGTTTTCCAAAGGCAGGGGCTTTTGGGGAAGCTTTGGCCTGCAAAATTGTCATTGGGCCTTGCCTACATGTACCAAATCTGCTTCCCCACATACCCACAACTCACTTCTCTGTCCTGGAGCTTGGGCTAGGAAAGGCTGGGCAGCTAGCTCCATGTCACAATTCTGCTCCAGGTCCCACCCAGACCTGATTCCTCTGCTGAACTGATGCAGTGATGCTGGATCTCGACAGGCCACACTCTTGGGCGCTCTTGGGAGCCTTTCAGAATTCCTGCTTCTAGCAGGTGAATCAGGCCTTTGCCTCAAGTAAGTGAGGGAGGACTCTGACACCACAGGGTACCCTCAGCAATCAGGCTTGTAGTTAAGTATCTGCTTCTCTGTTTGCTCATCTGTTCTGGTCCAAAAAAAAAGGCCCCAAGTTGTAATGTCTGTTGCACTCTAGGTCTCGCTTGTATCTGTAATGGTAAGTTGCAGTGTGGTGTCCCAGCTTAGGCTTGCGCCTCTTCTATTTGTGACAAAAAAGGGCCTGAAACAAAATCATACCATGTGATAAACCAGAACCAAAATAGACAGTGACCAAGTATCCCTGCGAGATACCAGGAGCAAGTCACAGAAGAGGTGAAAGGATAGCATAGCCCCATGCTTCTCAAAGAAAGGCCTCTCCTCCTAAAGCTGAGGGTGCAGAAACAGCAGCTCCCCATGCCCCGGCCCAGCACCTAGAGTCCTCCAATGCCCCTCCCAGCATTCTCTGCCCTCCACGCCTCACTTCATCACATCACAGTCCTTTCCATGTGGCCGCCCACCCCATGGGCCCGCTGCCCACAGACAACGGTCTTAGGATCAGTTTCACCATTAAAGCCTTTGAGCACAGTCTGAGTATATGGCAGTAAATAATTTACCAGTGTGGACTTAGCTGGATTATCCTTAGGAAGAAGGCCTCCTGAAGGCCTCAAGAGAACTGCCTCCTTCCAGGCAAGCTTGCAGAGACCTGGGAATGGCTGGTAGCTGCTCTCAGCCTCTCTGTTCTCCAGCTGTTAGCACAGAGCAAACCCAGTGGCACCTGGTAACCGGTGAGGTGTCAGGGTATATGTGAGACAGGCAGCTTTCCCTGCTTTTAGGATCCAGGGCTGAGTTGAGAGTATGTGACTTCCTAGCTCCTTCTCCAACTCGTGGAATCTAACACCTTGTCATGGAGCTCAGGCTTTCCACATTTCTGGCCGCCCCAATAGTTTATCTATCAAAGCCACAGTAACCGGAGCCTTTGTGTGGCCAGTGGCTGGAGAAATCAGAAGATCAAAGGGGAGTTTCACTGTGATACCTGTTTGCACTTAGGCACACAGAAGTTAGCACCCTGTGTGGATGTCACAACTGCTCAAGGCTCCATGTTCCTTGCACGGGTCAGGGCTGGCACATGAAAGGAAGTGGGAGAAGGTTCTAAATGAGGTAACCACCTGCTTCCAACTCACTTTTAATAGTTGTAATGAAAGCCACACATGAGAAAGGACATTTCTTCGAGAAACACTGGCAATAATTTGATTGATGTGTTTGTAGTTATTTACCAATTTTTGTACTCTTAAATATGGAGATCATTCAGAGAAATCAGGTAATGAAAGGATAGAGTCTACATTCTTTGAGTTAGTGCTATCTACTTTGAGCTAACTGCTATGAAATGGTTTGAAGACTCAGAGTTCCTGCCTCTCCATTTGCACTTCTGATGTCCCTACTCCCCGACACACAGCTGCTTCGACCTCTGGTATTGTAAGTGGAGAGTAGATCACTGGCCCCTTGACCTCTGACAGAGTGAAGGGATTTCCCTAGCCATGGAAAATGGGGCTGAAAGAATGACCTGCAGCCCACAAAGAGCCAGGGCAGGCTGGGTCAGCCAGGAACAGCTACCTCCTTTTGCCCCTGTCATTTATTTACAAGGTTTGGGTGGTATTACTCTAGGCTAGGAAACAGATCTGTCACCTTCAGTAATTCTTAAATCTGTTGATTCATAAACTTAAATAGCTGTCAAAACCTAGTTGAGTGAATCCATGAAGAACATTCCCCTTACATTTGACCTGAAGGAATTAGCTTTTTGTTGTACTGGATTTTACTCAATGGAATATTGCTCAAAATTAGCAGGTCACTGACTGAGACCTGGAAATCTGTTTTCACAAGGAGACTTCAAATTAGTGGCATTTTGAATAATGGGCTTTGACATGTACTAAAATTTCTACCAAGAGACTGTGTGTTTTCATTAATCCTATCAAGTTTGAGTTGAAAACAGAATTCTGTCCAGAATTACAAAGAAATTTTTATTCTGGGTTAGGAAACTGTCATTCCATCATGAAAAAAAAAGTCAGGTTGGACAAAGCCTTTCCTAGACCTCATCCTTGACCCTCAAAGTGAGAGGGGCAGGGAGAATGAGTCACAGCAGTGGCTGAGGGATTGCCATTCATTTGTAGCCACTTTGAAGCTCAGTACAGGAAATGCTGGCCCCACGGTAAAGCTGTTGGAGCAAATTAGCGAAACAGGATTTGGTTACTACCTTGCTGAAGTGAAGAGTAACTGGACAAACCTCAGTTGAAGTGAGCGAGAAGAAAGTTTTTCCAAAGTGGCAAAGAGGAGCACCCATTTCATAAACAGGTTCAGAGCCAGGCTGTGACTCGGGCTCCTTAGATTTAAACTGATTCCCAACCACTTACTAGCTGTATAACCTTGGGAAAACCCCTTAACCTCTCTGTACTTCAGTGTACTCTTCAACAGTGCCTAACTCCTAGGATTCTGAGGATTAAGTGATTTCATACAAGTGAAGCTCTTTACCCTAGCACATAGTAAGCACTCAAGATAGATTAGATGAGAAATAATGACCATATCAATGGTTTCTTTTATTAATCATTTTAGTGTATTGATACCAGTGAATTATTATTAAATAATTGTTATTATTGAAAGTGGGGATATCAAAAAGGGCTGGTCCCTTCCACTTTTTCCATACTGGTTGAATAAAAGTTCATTAAACCATGTAAGCTCTTTCTTCCGAGTTGTTAACTCTTTCTTCTCCCTAAGCAAGTATTGCCTTATTTGGGGGGAAAGGCACAGGGGTGACACTTTGGAATAGTCTGATAGGTTTGTTAAATTCTGGACAAAGCTTCACAAAACCTGATTGGCCCAAACCCAGTCTGAACATCATATTTAGATGAAGATAATTTATAATGTAAACAGCCTTTAATGTACTTACATTATTGGTAAACTAATATATAGTAGAGCACTTTATAATGGGGGCATGATTATTTTGTCTTCTCCTTGTGTTTTTTTTTTTTTTTTGAGACAGAGTTTCACTATGTCTTCCAGGCTAGCCTCAAACTCGCAATCCTCCTGCCTCAGCCTCCCAATGCACAGAGTACAGGCATGTGCCACTATACCTGGCCAGGGATTCATTTTCAGTCAAAATAAAACTGCATTCCAGATTGAGGTTTTCATTTTCTGAGTATTGTAAACCTCTGTCCTTACCAAAGACTTTTGTTTTTTCAGGTGCAATTGCTGGTATAGTTGATCAGCCAATGCAGAACTTCCAGAAAATATCCGAGGCCCAGGCATCAGCAGGACACAAAGCCAAGGGAGTTATCTCAGGCGTGGGGAAAGGAATCATGGGAGTGTTCACAAAACCCATCGGGGGAGCTGCTGAGCTTGTGTCACAGACTGGCTATGGTAAGTAGGTGGAAAACCAGTCAGGCCAACTGAGACACTGCTGATACCCAGGGTTCCCTGAGGTAATCTAGACCTTCACTTGGGGAAGGGGCGAAAACAGAATAAATAAAAAGCATCTATCTTTCTTATTTCCCTATGCTTACTTACATAGAGTAGAATTGAACTACTAATAAAAAATAACAAAATTGTAGAACCAAGAAATCAATTACTAATCTTAGTAATTTCATAGTAAATTCTGTATCACAAAATCTTTTACAATACACTTAATAGACATTAGTAAAAAAAAGTAATCAGCGAAACATTGAGAGCAATATATTGTAGTAGAGAAAAGAAAGGATGATTACCTTGAGAAATTTGGAAAGGCAAGAAGAGGTCTGTGACAGCCAGTGTGTATGGAGGAACAGGAGCAAGGCAGGCACACAGCTCTTTGGGAGTGGGGTGGCTTTCTCTCCTACAGACGCTTCCTGCTGCTGGCAGTCAGGCAGTCTCCTGGCCAAAAGAACCAAAGGTACAGTGTCTCCCAGGCAGATGCTGCAGAGACCTGGGGCTTGTGGCACTACTGTGTGATGGGTGGTGTGAACGGAAGCACCCACTCCCACACTTTCTTTCTGCACTCTTGGCAGAGCACATTAGAGCACCTTGCAATGAACATGTGACTGCATAACCAACCAATTACCCTCTCACCTAAAATTGATGCCATCATTTTGGCCATGAAGCAGGCTGTCTAGCTGGTGTCTCAAACCAGAGGAGTGTCACCAAGCACTGCATCTCCGTGGCAGCTTATACTCATTGTAGGCATCTGCTACCTCAGGAGCTCTGACAGGATGCAACCACATCAGGGCATTAAAGACAGTGTCTGAAACAGAGGGAGTGGGAGATGACGCCTACACTCCAGGCAGCCATCCAGAGCATTCTTTGAGAGCCCACACAGGCCTGCTCCCTCTTTACAAATTCTTTCTCTCCTGTGTATGACATGTTCACTCACAGGGAAAGTGACAATAAGAATCGCTGCAACTTGGAGATAGAAGTTAAACTCTCCCTTATCAAATGCTTGGACCTCACATGATAATAAGCAGTATTGCTTTTGCAACAGACTCCAGTGAGGTACATTCATACTTCATAAATCGCTCTAGTTTTTAAAATGCCACTGTCCTTCACCATGTTCCCCAGGCTGGGGAAGTGTGCCTTATGTAAGAGCATCTCAGAGCAAAGCTTCACATGGCCTTTTTGGTTTCCATCACTCTTATAAAACTTTTATTACCACACTGAAGGTTTTACAAACCACTAACTCGCAGTCTAATGACTGTGCTTCATTTATAAACATTTACAAGCCCCCAGGATGCACACATGCTGTACCATCTTTGGTTCTGGACTCTCTTTGGAGGCCTGTGTGGCTGCTGCTGGGTGCCCTCATTTGGTGCTGGCACCAGGGAGAGCATGCCATAAACCAGAGCCCCAAATGCACTCATAAATGTCTATGGAATTGTGTTTAACAGCTGGATTAAGTCACTTAACATTTAAATATTGTACCTAGGCAAACCTTGTGCCTTTGTACATATTTATATATGTTGTGTTTATTATTTGGCCAGCCATAGCACACATACAGAAATATGAAGCAAGGAAGTCAATAGTCTTGACTTTTAAACATGTGATATGTGAGCTCTTGCCCATGAGCAGTTACTCTCAGGAGCGGAGCACTAGGTGTTCTCTAAGTACCAGTCTACGCTTGGACTGGAGCGCATTCGTATTTTAGTTTGTAGCTAATACACTGTCACCAGTGCTAAGAGCATTGTAACGTTTAATGATTATCTGTACACGCTTCCAAACATGTGACATCATTTTGGATCTGTAACATTTTATGGATGGCTCTAAGTAAATGACATCACTGTAGCATGGAACCATTTTCCTGAAAACAAGTAGTAAAATTCCCTTACTTCTCTTACCACAGGTATTTTACACGGAGCTGGACTTTCTCAGCTTCCCAAACAGCGCTATGAGCCAACTGATCTACATGCTGACCGGGCTCCAAACAGCCATGTCAAATATGTCTGGTAAAATTACTGAGACACTCCCTATCTTTATAACCAAACTCTATGGTAGCAGCTCCTGGCTTACTCTCAAACTAACAGCTATGCTTCCCGTTAGCTTGTTTTGGGCACTGGCGTTTGGGTCGTACCAAGCATCCTAGAGGGCCAGGGAAGGGCTGCTATTCCCAGGTTTGGGGCTAGCTGAAGAACTCTGCTCCACAGGCCAAGCATGGTGGTCTACAGCTGTAATCCCTGCACTCAGGAGGCTGAGGCAGAAGGATCACAAATTTTAGGCCAGCCTGTGCTACACAGGGAGACTGTGTCTCAAAAACAACAAAAAACCTCTGCTTCACACTGCCCTCTCAAGGAGATGCACATTAGTAGCAAAGCCCTGGCCTGCAAGAAGGGCCCAAGATTCCTGGAACTGGAGTTCTAGTTAGGGGGGGTGTCATTTTTAATGGGATTAAAAAGAGATAAACAGAACTAAAGGATATCTTTGTCTCTAGGAAGAGCCAGGTTCTATTGACTAGAATCAATTTGAGAATTGACAATTAGCATTTCAAGCTAAAGTTGTTAATCTACTTGCCCTTGAGTTTTGTGTGCAATCAGTCCTTGGTAAGTACTGATAAGTGACTGTCTCCAAGCTGACTCCTGGCCTCCTTCCTCCTTTTAAACAGGAAAATGCTTCAGTCTCTGGGCAGACCAGAAGTCCACATGGCCCTGGATGTGGTGCTGGTGAGGGGCTCAGGCCAGGAGCATGAAGGGTGCTTGCTGCTGACATCAGAAGTGCTCTTCGTGGTGAGCATCAGCGAGGACACGCAGCAGCAGGCCTTCCCCATCACAGAGATCGACTGTGCACAGGACAGCAAGCAAAACAACCTCCTTACTGTGCAGCTCAAGCAACCAAGAGTGGCCTGTGATGTGGAGGTACAGTTCAGTAAATAGAGTGACTGGGGCTAGGTGCCAGGAAGGTCAAGATGCAGGCAGATTGCCGGTACCCAGCATTTATGAGCTCCAGAGTGGCTACTAGAGACAGTAGAGCTACTACACAGGAAGGATTGCGGATCCCTTGCGGAAGAGATCAGGAAAGCCCCACCCAGTGTATGTAAGCCCTGCACAGGAAGCTCAGGTGGCAAGGGGCTCTTGGCCTGGGGCTAAGTCACCATGTGAGTGGAACAGGCTAATGTGGCTGTCTGTTGTGAGTTTGGGTTGCTGGAGACTGACAGTAAGTGGAGTTCCAAAATGAGTGGTTGCTAGAGGAAAGGCAAGGAGTGTGACAGCAATTCCTAGCAATTCCACAAATGGAGGCTCCCTGGTCTGTGTGTGGCCTGGGAGTGGCTGTGGGTACAGAAGACTGCTGCAGAAGCAAGGGGCATCCTGCGGGAACCAAGCCAAGAGCAGGAAGCCTGACTTCTGCAAGCTAACCAGGGACCTTAACTTCCTCCCTGTGCTCTCTCCCCCACACCCAACCCCAGAGAATTCAGGAGTCAAAATTTTGTAAATCTCTCTCTTTCCTACTCATTGATTTATATTCTGTGGCTCTGTGTTCCCTTTCTCAAAGGATATTTTCCTGTCCCATAAATAACACAGGGTACCTCCTAGGGACAGCTTTAGGTGCTGGGGCCAGCAACCTGGCCCTACAGCTCCTGAGCTGTGCTGGCTGCTGGCTGCTGGCTCCGAGAACGGATGCTCAGGTGGGGAATTCTGAGTGTCAGGAATAAGAAGTGAACCCTGACCAGAGTGGCCTGTTTCCTTGAGTACAGCCTAGGATAAGCAGATAAACCCACTGGGAAACTGCACTCTGCACCCCAGGTGATGGACCGATCCACAAGCCCTAATTATTGACCTAGGAAACACTTTTTCCATATGGGAAGCTGGAGTCTACTGGGGATTGAGTGGCCCCAGCAAAGGACACAAACCCAGCAGGTCCTGCCTGGTTCCTTCCTCCATTATTTTCTTCCTGATATGGAAGTGTTTGCATACAATTATCTAAGCAGATGGAAACCAGCCAACCACAACAACGCTAAGATTTCTTTAGTTTCTTGGATCATAATCAGTCAGGCTTTATGCTGGAGGTTGGCACCAGGACTACACTGCTGCTTTGAGTTGATAACTTTTGGGGAATAAACTGAGGTCAGCTATCCAGGCTGACTTTGTTAGATGTGCCAAAAATCTTCTGATCCGTTTGACAATAAAGCAGCAGTGATCTGGCTACAGAATTTGGCAGAGGATAGTATCATTATCTCCAAGTCCTTAGTCCTTAACAAGAAACCTCCAAGACCTCAAGAATATCAGTGACCATCGTTTTTCCTTAGCTGGCTTGGGAAATGCTTAGATCTTAACCTTTTGGGAGTGGAGATTTATCTTTTGCTGTCAAGCTGTCTTATCTCATGATCCCTCTTTTCCACTTAGGTTTGAGAAGAGTACCAACAGGATTATCATAGCTGGAGGGGAAGAAACCTATTTCTCTAGGGGCTGTTGAGATGAAAACTGGATTCAGCACCTTTAGGAGTTAGAAAGGTTCAGACCCTGGAATCACAGTCAGAGATGAAGCCCCACAGCTCTGGACCATAAGCTTAATAGGTTTCCCACTGGTGTCCAGGAATAAAAGGAGGCTCGTAACAGATATCCTGTGCCTTCAGGCTCCACATCTGCTCTCTTACTATCTTTGACACCTTCTCCTCTATTCATAAGAAACAACAGTAATAAACCCCCTCCTGTATCCATAACCCTAACCGCCCCCCTCACCCTAAGAAAACCAAAGCAGCAGGGATTTTTGAGAGCTGCGATCTGGTGTATTTTCAACATGAGAGGAGAAAGGTTACAAGGGCGCAGCTTTGACCCAGTTGGTTCTCCAGCTCTCATGTCAGTGCCTCCCAACAAAAAGCTTTGCTAGGAAGCCTGCCTGCTGTCTGCCAGTGAAAACCAAGAGCAGTATTTTAAGATCTTTATATAAAATAGCTTTCTTTTCTGGTTTGTTGCTTTTGCCTTGCAGGGTAGGAAACACAGCTCCTTTGAATTTTGGAAGAAATTAATTTATAGATGACATCCAGCATATTCAAATATGGCAGGCTTCAGACTTTTTGAAATTAGCATTTACTAATTGCTAATTACCAATTTGCTAATTTCTTGGTTAAATTCAGCCATTTTAAGAGTAATAATTGTTTTATATGCCTGGCACGTTATTGAAATCCCTTATGAGAGGCTCAAAATGAGTCAGGTCAATTAATTCCTTGGCCAGGTTCCTTTCACAACACGGGTTTTCCTGTGCTGCTGTTTAGGAGGAGCAATTAAGCCTTTTTTGTGTGTTCAAAGCTTTCCAGCTGAATCCTGGCCCCGTCAAATGATATCATCAGAGTGCTGGCGTTTGCCTGCTGGTGCACAGCTTTCCTCTGTCAGTGAATCTTAGGGGCCCTTATTTTCTTTCTCAAGCTTAAAAATACGAGACCTGACCTCTAACAGATGCTCTACTTACTCCTCTGGCAGGCCCATTTAATATGTCACTGACTTTTTGCAGCTTTTAAGACACTTTTGGCTGCAGTATTTTTGGACCCTATACAGAATACAAAGAAATCCTTTACATTATCTGCCTGGAGGACTAAAAAGCCCTCATCATTAAAATGTAATTCTTCCAGTGATCTTGCCAACACTCAGTAGGTAGAAACTACTGAAAGTCAGTGGCTACTTGATTCTCAAACCTGTGGCTTGTACTGCGAATGTCCCACCCTGCTCGATCTGTAACTAGATAGTTACAGGACTTCAGGGTAGAAAGAATTTATAGCTCTGCCTTTGATGGGTGGTTTCTCAGAAAAATCTCACTTCAAAACTTAGGTAGTATATCTCCATTCCCTATTTGAGTTCCACTGAAGATGAGCCAGACTTTTATGAACCATAAATGTACTTTGTATCCTCCCTTTTTTCCCTAAAACTCTCCCCTTCCTCTGCCCAGTTTTTATATTTTCTCTGGCTTTAAATCATACTGTTTATAAAAATAGAAATGTTATAGTTCAAAGGTTTTTTTTGTTTGTTTTTAATGCTCTGCCCAGCCACTGGTTTGAATGAGGTGCTCTTTGCCTCTTTCCTTCCATGAAACTGAAGAGGTTCTATCTAAAGAGGTTTTGGGAACCAGGTTTGGGAACAACTTTTATTTGGAGATGCTGGGTTTAATGTTGATAAGATTTAAGTAGAAGAATTACATTTTTCTTCTTTGGTCCTGGGCTGCTTGATAAAAAGCAACGATAGATGTTTTAACAGTTAATGCGTGAAATGTTATCAAATCATCAACTTCAAACATGGGAAATTTTACACAACACCAGATGTTTATTCATGGTACCTTCATGCAGAGCTCTTCTCTAATTCTAAAAATTGCACTGTTATCATTGCCACATCTCAGAAGAAAAATAAAGCACTGTTTTGGACCAAATGGCTTTATTAGATGACCTAAGAGGAATAGTACACAAATGCACCAAGGAAAAGACAAGAAATAATTTTGTTACAGAAGTTTCATTATAAGGGTTTTGGCAACTAACTGAATCTTTTATTTTTGGATCCTAGATGGATGGAGTACGAGAGAGACTATCAGAGCAACAGTACAACAGACTTGTGGACTATATCACAAAGACCTCATGTCACCTGTCCCCCAGCTGCACTTCCGTGCAAATACCATGCCCTGTGGTGGCTGTGGAACCTCCCTCCTCCACTGCTAAAACATACCATTATCTGGTTGACCCACCCTTTGCTCAGGTCTTCATTAGTAAATTTACCATGGTGAAGAATAAAGCCCTGAGGAAAGGGTTTCCCTAAGTCCCTCAAAGGTGTTAATTCTGCTTGTACAATTTATTTTTGAAACAAGAAACCCAGATTTATTAGCTGTAACATTCAACATAGACACAGGGCCAACACTACAGGTATAGGTACACTCATTTTCTAGACACTCCTGAAATTGTGATTCTTCTTTTCTCCCTAAAACAAAGAAAATACTTTTAAGATGGAGTGACCAAAAAATGTGTTCCTCTCCCATTTAGAGACAACGATCAATAAAATCCTATATATGCTGTATTCTTACCACACATGGAAAACTTTCCTTTTTGTTCCATAGTGTCATTTCCAAAAATATCCACTATAATTTGGCTCTATTAATGCTCTGCTCCAAGACAAAAGTGCAGAGTCAGACTTAAAACTTCATCCCAGTTGCATCTGTTTTGGAGCAGAGATACCACCTCTGCCTAATACTCTGCATCTATAAAGATTGAAATTCTTGAAGTGAAATGCTTTGGACTTTGAATTTGTCACTTAACTGCAATGCTGTTCTTTTAGTTATCGCTGCCATGTATATTACCTCCAAAGTCTGCATTTTACTGAAATTTATAAAAGTCTTAGGTGCTTTTAGGAAAGTTTGTTTTACTAAACAAGCTAAAATGTTAATCTTTGAGTGTACCAATCAATGCAAACAGACCCAAGTGCTCAGAAAAGTTTTAAAACATGTACTTCTAGGAACTCCCTTGTGTGGAACTGCCTGGTGTACTGGAGGGGAATCAAGAACCCCAACATTAATGCTGGCAATGACATCAGTCCAGATGGCTTACTATGATGAACTGATGTGATAAAGTATGAAGACATGCCTGATGTCTGGTATCATTTTAGATTTTCAGGTCACTAGGTATCTTGGTATGTTCAGTAAACATCTCATGGTTCAATTAAAACACATCCACTGATTACATTCAAACTTGCCCTACAACTTTTTGGGTACAATTGTGAAATACTAAGAAAATACATTTCTGACGGCCCATTGATCTTTAGGCACACATTATTGTGGCACTGTTACTGGAGAGCAACTCTAGTAATGGACAATTCAGTCTGAATATGAGTTTGATTTGTAATACTCATTTAAGGAGAATGGCATTTTTTGTCAACCTCAAGATAACTATTTTTAAGAATGTAATTATGTACCAATTCCTACATATTTTATGGTAATTTTACATACTGCCAAGAACTGTTATATGAAATTGTTTAAAATAAAAGGTATTCTTTAGTTACTGACCATATATAAATGTCTATTCTGTTACCAGGGTTTTTACATTGCAGTTTTTTGCTGACACCTGTCTATTATAGTTCACATCTCTGGGATTCAAGAATTTTGTATTAATTTTGAGTTAAAAAAGGAGTAAGAGACAGTACTTGTTATCTTAATAATAAGGTGACTAGTGATTAAACTAACTTTGGATAAAATAAATGTAACTTTTAATGCTTGCTGTGGTATCACTTTGACACAACAAAAACATTAAAGGACAAAAAAGATTCTAAGATGTTCTTCAAAAAAGTTACCTGTTTAGTTAGTTACCAGTAGACATCACTCAATTCTACTTCACTGAATTCTAGTTAAGTGATTGATTGTTTTTCTGGATTAAAAAAATTCCAATTCTGTGTACAAACTCTTTAATAAAGTAATGCTGGGTATTCCTCAATAACTGCATTTCAGTTATCTATTTTATCTATCTAGTGATAAGAAGGCTACCAACCAGTAACAGTGCAGCCCCAGGACAAGTTTTACTGGAAGCCCTGCCTGTCGCTTTAGGCCCCACAGTGCTAAAGCCTGGTATTGACGCCTAAAAGACACACACCACCCCCTCAACACAGGACCAGATAAATGCTGCTAGAAGTACCTCAGTGTGATGGACAAAAGATCAGAGCAATTAAAGATGTAGTAAACCAATGAAAAATTTTTAAATAATGAAATAAAATTAGCTTCATAACATTCATAACCACTTCAAAATCTCCTAACCAGTTATAATACTTTTAAATTCCCTGAATTATTATTAAGAATAACTGAGCCACGTTTACTGTTCACAGTATTTATTTATCAAGAGAAACTATTCCATAGTCCACATATTCACGTTTCATAGTTCAGGAACAGGTCAATGACAAACTTCTATGGAACTCAATCCAAAGAAATTCTGTGGAGAGAAACACAATGACTAAGTTAATGACAAACATTATCAATACTCACTTGAGATCACCGAGGTACATTTCTATTAGTTGACCCTACACTTTGACCACTCACTTCACCCCAGGAGAAGCCTAGTTCAGGTTGCCTGAGCTCTGTCTAGGTTGAGTCTCCTCCAAACTCCCTGACTGGGCTCTTAACCATTTTGGACATGCCAACCTTACTCATTTCTTACTTTCATTTTAACATATTCTACTTTTTTCCTTCTCAAGTCCACCTACACTCCCTCTTCCCTATTGTATTTACACATGTTCTTTAAAAAAGAGCTCATCTGGAGGCTGGATGTGCTCACAATCTGAGGTTGGCCCACAGTTTGATCCCCAGTACTATTATACTGTTCTATCTCAAAATCTACTTTTCCCTTATTGGTTTTTGAACAATTTGTTATAAGTAAAGAAGGAGTAACCACTAACATCTTGTGATTGTGAAATGCATGCCCAATGTGAAAAATTCTGAAAACTGCAAAGTTAAAGAAAACAGCAATGTTAAAAACTGACAAAATTAGCACTATTTTATTGAATCTTTTTCTTCCTTCAGTCTTTGTTCCCTGTGCAATTCTTCTACCAGACCATCCTTTATATAAACATTATTTTCTATAACTTTTGTGAATATCACTGCTAATGGACACAATAGTCCAGGTATGAAAGAAGGCTATACTTACTAAGTTTCCAACCATTAGAAGAAAAATAAAGTTACTGTGGACACTTAGCACATGTACCTATCTGCATTTCAGATATTTCCTTAGAATAACAGAATGTTGTAGAATCAAATCATGTATTAAAAATCTTTGTAGTCTAAAAGCCTTTGTGCCATTTAGAAAAGTGATCTAAGTCCAGTGCTATTGGCCTTTTTCCCACCTCAGATCTTCCAAAAGATTTAAATAAAACACATTTTAGTGCAGCTGAAATGCTTATTGAGGAATATCATGCATGAAAAAAATACTGACATTCTCCATATCAAATCAAACATTTACAGTGTACAAAACCAGACAAAAGTGATAGAATCTTTAAATTATTTCTCTCCTTCCTTTTAGTTGAGCTTGAATAAACTTTAATACATGCATGGTAAGAGTCCAAGTATGAACGGTCTCATCAGGTATCTGATACATCCTTTCAAATCAATTCAGTGGATTACCTTTCATCAGCACACAGGCTGTTCTTTTCTAAAGAACCTTAATTTATACTGTCCATGAGACATGAGGACCTCACAGATATAACAGACCACACAGAATCTATAAAAGAACCAGCAAGTCACTCATGGACACTGTAGCACTAGAAAGTGTCCAAAATCTTTAAAATATCTTTTTTTTTAAAGTCACTTCTATGTGCTAGAAATGAATTTGGGATATTGGGGTGTCATGAAAGAGACAACACAACTCAGAAGTCAATAGGCAAGACAAAATTTACTTCTGCAAGTAACTGTACAAAGAGCAAGCACACTGGATGGCAAGTCCACTCAGGTTTTATCTCTAATGCAAGTCTGCCCCTTACCCTGTTTAACGGGTTTCAAGTTCATAATCTCCATGACTGGCTAATTTGAAAAGGTGGCACATGGGGGCAAGGGACTTTGGGACAGGGAAAGCAAAGATTTACTTGAACAATAGCTGCCTTAAGCAAGCAGTTTTTGAAACTAGAGTACCTGGTGATAACAGGAACTTGCTCAGCTGAGGACAGCTCTTTGCTTAAAATAGGAATTTACGAGTTAAGTGACATCTCACAAAGCACATAGGCAACAATTCAGGGAAGTTGAGCTGACATCTATACAATGATAATATACTATACATTAACGCCTTTGACAGAAAAGATCTGAATTTAGTTGATTCTCACATATGGTGAGATTTTCTTAAATATCAACCAAGCAATTAATAGCAAAACTTGTGAAATGACTTTGAACATAAAAAGTAACTTCATATATCAGCAAGATAGTATACTACAAAAGCTCCAAGCTACCCACCACTCCTCCCCTAGAGAAATACTGAGTAATACATGGACCAAATTAGCTTTGTGAGAACTCTATAAACCCATTAAGCTGCAGCAACCAAGTGAACACCTAGCCAAGAAAACCACATTCAAAACACAGTATAAAACTTTGTGATGTTTTTTGCTTGCCCTTGTCAGCTCCTTCTCAGCATACACACAGTGAAGAATGGAAGGTACTTGCTATATTCTGGTTTGTCTAGGGGCTGCTCAAACAACTGGTTTCTGTCTTTCCTGACTTGGATGGAAGCAGTGTTGTACTTTGAATATCCGGTTGGAAGTAAATGCCATAGCATGAGAGAGCTGCAGAGGAACTACAGATCTGTAGGCACCCATGGGCAAGAGATTACAGGCAGAGGAATTACAAGAGTAAACAGAAATGAACTCGTAAAGTTAAGGCAGACCTAAGAACAATCAGCTATAAAGGAAAATAACTGCACACACATAGGCCCATGCAAGATGTATCCTCAGAAAAAAGGGTGACTGTGAGCCTTTAATAAAGCTCTTCCCCTCACAGACCCTGTCTGCAAACAGGGGAAGAGGTAGAAGTTTTTTAATTTCAACAGAAGATCATAAAAGGTACATAAAGAAACAGAAGCCAGGTGCATGGCTCACGCCTATAATCCTAGCTATTCGAGAGGCTGCGATCAGAAGGATTTCAGGACAAAGCCAGCCCAGGCAAATACCTTGCGAGACCCTCTTGAAATCACCCAACAAAAAAAGGGCTAGCTGAGTGGCTCAAGTGGTAGAGTGCCTGCTGAGCAAGTGTGAGGCCCTGAGTTCAAAAAACCCCAGTACCACCAAAAACAACCAAAAAACAGGGACACAAAATAAATCTCCACAAACCAACTACAAACACTGGCCTCTGACTTACTTGACAAAACCTTAAAAATGACTGCTTTAAATATGCTCAATAAGCTAAAGAAGAACACAGACAACTAAAAATCAGAAAATATATGATGAAAATGAAAATATCAAGAGAAATTATAAAAACTGATATTCTGAAGCTGAAAAATACAATAATTAAATTGCAAATTACTAGGGAGTTTCATGAGTGGACTCAAACTGGCTAAAGACACAAGCAAACCTAGGGCAACAGGTCATTGGCAATTAAGTCTGAAGAGTAAAAAACGTGAACAGAGCCTAAGGGACCAAGTAGGTCAACACCTATACTATGGGAATCCCAGGAGACAGGAGGAAGAGGCTGTGAACTTACTTGAAGTAATAATGGCTAAAAATGTACCAAATCTGAAGAAATTGATACATAAATATAAGCGGCTCAACAAACACCAAGCAGAGTAAATCTAGAGACATTATCATCAAACTGCTGAAACTCAAAGGCAAAGAGAGTACTAAAAGCAGCCAGAAAAAAAACTCATCATGTACAAGGGAGCCTTCATAAGATTATCAGAGAATTTCTCAGCAGAAACCTTTCAAGGCCAAAAAGCTGTAGAATACATTTAAAGCACTGGAGGAAAAAAAATGTCAACTGAGAATAATACTGTATCCAGCAAAACTGTCTTTTAAAAATGAGGAAGAAAGTAAGACATTCCTAGATAAACAAGAACTAAAGGAGATCATTACCAGCAGACCTGCTCTAAAATTGATACCAAGAGAGTTCTTCAAGTTGAAATGACAGAATACTAAACATTAACTGGAAATCATGCAAAAATACAAAGTTCTCTGATAAAGGATAAATATAAAAAGTCTGTATTGTAATCGAGCCTTGTAACTCCACTTTGAAATCAAAAGACGAGCATATGTAACAACTGTAAATCTATGTTAGTGGGTACACAATATAATTTGTAACATCAATAACAAAGGAGGGGCACTGTAGAAGAGTAAAATTTTTCTATGCAATTAAAGTTAAATTTGCTAAGTTTACAATAGATTGTTAGAATTTTAGCATGGTTCATAAAATCCCCATGGGTAGTCACAACTGAAAACACTGAATTTACACAAAAGGAAACAGAGATCATTACAACATAACCAATTAAACAAGAATATAGTAAAAGAAGAAATAAAGAGACAAAAAAAGCCATAAGATACATAAAAACAAAATGGTAATGTCTTTCCCTATTAGTAATTTACTTAAATGTATATTGATTGAGTTTCCCAATCGAAAGACAAAGAATGGTAAAATAGATTAAAAAGAACCTAATTCAATTAGTATATACTATCTACAAGAGACTAAGGTCACATATTGAAAGTGAAAGAAGACGTGCCACACAAATAGTAACTAAGAGAAAAGGAGTGGCTATATTAAATAGAACAGACTTTAAAGTCAAAAAAAGGCTATAAAATGCAAAGACATTAGTAACAATAAAAGGACCAATTCATTGATAAGAGCCAGCAACTATAAATATAAATGCAGAGAACATCAAAGGGCCAAATATATCAATCACGCACTCACAGAATTAAAGGGAAAAATACAAGTACTACAGTAAGAGTAGGGTACTTTAATATTCCACTTTCAACAATGCACAGATCAATAAGGAGAAAGAGGACTTAAACAACACTGGGCCTAATGGACAAATAAAACACCCCACCAATAACAAAATACACAATTTTCTCAAGTGCACATGGAACATTCTCTAAAGGACCATTTGTTAGGACAAAAAGAAGTCTTGACAAATCCTAGATCACTGGAAATCATAAAAAGTATCTTTTTTAATCACAATGAAACTAGAACTCAAGAGAAAACAGGAAAATCCAATATATTGAAATTAAAAAATATACTCTTTAGTGACCAATAGGTCAATGAGGAAATCATATGGAAATTTAAAAAGAAAGATCTCAAATCCAGAACCTAACTTTACACACTAAGAAGTAGGAAAAGAGGATCTAGCAAAGCTAGCAAAAGAAAGGAAATAATAAGGATTAGAGAGTAACAAAACAGATAATGGGAAAATAGAGAAAAATCACCAAAACCAAGTTGGTCATTTGAAAGAATCAACACCACCGACAAATCTTTAAAATGACTAAGAAAAAGAGACTCTAACTAAAAACAAAATTTCTTTTTGTTTTTATAGATACAAAACTTTTACAGATATAAAAAAAAACTGTAAGACTACTATGAATAATTATATGAAACAATTTAGATGACCTAGATAAAATGGACAAATCCTCAGAAACGTACAACCTACTATTACATCAGAAAGAAATAGGCAATCTGAATAGACCTTTAGTAGAAAATTGAATCAGTAATCAAAAAGCTCCTAACAAACAAAAGCCCAAGACTAGATGGTGAGTTTTACCAAAATCTAAAGAATTATCATGAAAAAAAAGAACATTGATCCTTTTTCAATCAGTCCAAAATCAATGAAGAAAATGGGACAATTCCACATGCATTCTATAAGGCCAGCATTATCCTGATCTCTAAATGAAAGACCCAAGAAAAGGAGAACTAAAAGGCCAATCACTGATGAATACTGATGCAAAAATCCCCCACATATCAAACCAAATTCAATAGCACATTATAAGGATTACACATGAGAGCCAAGAAACTTATTCCTAGAATGCAAGGATGGTTTAAAGTACACAAATTAATAAATGTGATACACCACAGTAACAAAGAAAAAAAAATCATAATTCAATAAATGTAGAAAAACAGAATCTAACAAAATTCAACACTTTTTTCATTATAAAAACAATTAACTAGGAACTTTAAGTGCAATGTACCTCAATATAGTAAGTCATACATGATGAGCTCACAGCTAACACTAAACTCAAAGGTATAAAAGTGAAAGCTTTTCCTCTAATTTGTCAGAGATTTTAAGGCAAAGATGCCCACTCTTGCCACTTCTATAAAATAAAGCACTAAAAGTCCTACCCAGAAAAATTAGGCAAGAAAAAGAAAAGGCATCCAAAAAGGAAAGAAGTAAAATGATCTGTGTGCATGTAACATGACCTGTATGTAGAAAACCCTAACAACTCCATACAAAAAGTGTCAGATTACATGAAGTCAACAAAGTTGCATAGCACAAAATGAACACACCAAAATCAGTTTCTTACATTAACAATAAACAAATGAAAGAAAACAATCCCATTTACAATTGCATCAAAAAAAAAATATTTAGGAATAAACACAACCAAGAACATAAGAGACTTAAGAGAAAACTATAAAACACTGTCCGAAGAAATAAGACAACATTCTATGTTCATGGATTGCAATACTTAAGATTTCCATACTACCCAAAGCAATCTACAGATTCATCACAATCCCTATCAGAATCCCAATACCATCTTTGGCAGAAATAGAATACAAAAATTTTAAAATTTATAGACTCTCAAGGAACTCCCTAATAGCTAAGCCTTGGGAGGAAAAAAAACTAAAGAACAAATATAGAAGCTTCACATTCCCCAATTTCAAAACTTACTACAAAACTATAGTAAAGAAAACATATGGGACCAATGGAATACAATAAAAAGCTCAGAAATAATCCCTGTGGTCAAATGATTTTTAACAAGGATACCAACATCATTCAATGGGAAGAGGACAATCTTAACAAATGGTTTTGGGAAACAGGATATCTACATGCAAAAAAATGTAGCTCTATCTTTTACATTACACCATATGTAAAAGTTAAAACTGAATCAAAGACAGCTGGGGGTATAGCTCAGTAGTACAGCATGTTTAACATACTCAAGGTCCTGGGTTCAACCCCAGGACCACCCCACCCCACCACCAAAAAAATGATACAAACCTAAAGTGTTAAGTGCTAAAAACTCATAGAAGAGAACATAAGAAAAGTTTCATAACATTAAATCTAGCAATAATTCTGGGATATGACACCAAAAACCCATGCAACAAAGGTAAAAATATGCAAATTGAAATTTGAAATTTCTGCAAAGGACACAATAGAGTGAAAAGACAACCTATGGAATAGGAGAAAATATTTCTAATCAAATCACATCTGATAAGGGCATAACATCAAGAATGTGCAAAGAACAATTCATTCCAAAACAACCAAATTCAAAAGTGGGTAACAGACTTGAATAAAAACAATCTCCAATATATCCAATGAGGATATACAAATGGCCAATAAATACATGAAATGCTCAACACGGCAAATCATCAGGGAAGTACAAATCAAAAACACCATGCAATATCTCACTGCAATAAGATACTTACTACCAAAAGAAAACAATTAAGTAACAAGCATTGGTGGGGACATGGAGAAAGTAAAACACACCCGTACTCTGTTGGTGGGAGTACAACTACTAAGGAAAACAGTACGTCAATTGCTTAAAAAAAAAAAACCAATTGTATGATCTATCAATTCCACGTCTGAATACGTACACCAAAGAATTGAAAGCAGCAGAGCCTTGAAGAGGTATTTCTACACTTATGTTCTTAGGAGCAGTATTCACAATAGTCAAAAGGTGAAAGCAATTCAAATGTATATTGACAGATAAATAAAATGTAGTAAATATGAACAATGGAGTATTTTTCAGACATAAAAAGGAGGGAAATTCTAACACATGCTATGACGTGAATGAACCTTAAGAACACTATACTAAATGAAATAAGCCACTCACAAAAAAAAAACCCCAAAAAACAAAAAAAAAACACCACTATGATTCTTCTTACATGAGTATCTATAGTGATTAACAGAAAGTAAAATGGTAACTGTCACGGTCTGGGGGGAGATGGGAATGGGGAGTTTTTAACAGGTACACAGGATCAGTTTTGTAAGATGCAGAGTCCTAAAGACTGGTTGAACAACAAGAATGAACAGTACTTAATAACATCAAACTGTACAATTAAAATGTTAAGATAATAAATTGTATTCATTTATATTTTACCATAAGTTAAATTTTTAAAGTGACTTGAAATAATTGTATTACCTTTCCATTCCAAAATCACTTTGCACTCTGAAAGATACCAGCCGCCTTCATCTCCTCAAAATCTTTCATGGAATCATAATTTCTGTAGAAATCTGCATATGCCTTCTTTCTTGGTTCAGCCACACCAAACTAAAAAGTAACATAGCTGATTAGGATGTTTATTTTTCAGATTATTAGAAACCTAGTATCTAAAAGCAAAATAAATGACATTTGTGCCCACTCTTTAATTTGAACCCAACATTTCCTAAGACATGGGGTAGAAGTGTCACAGATGCAATGATGATGGTCTCAAGGAAACTACACAGCAAGAGCAGCCTTCCTTGCCAAGGAACAGATTATACCTTTTCCTGGGTGGATGGTGTGTGTGCATGTGTATGTGTGCCTGGTAGAAGAGAGGTACAAAAGATGTCAAAGGTGTTAAAGAATAGATGAGTAGCCTCCTCTCCAACAAATCCTAAATACACTCACACAGCTAAAACAGCCTAAAAATATTCTGATTCAATTTAAGCCACAGTATGAATTTTAAAGGAGTCTGAGACCGATGTGGTAACCATCTGTCTCTGAAAGGCAAGGGAAACTTTTTATCTGACAAAAAATAGTTTGGGATGATTTATACTTCAACATGCAGGCTCTAGGAGTAAGCAGTGAATCACTTTACAAGTGAGGAAATGAACCCAAGATGAAGGCTACTGATCATTAAAGCCTTTAAACTGCTAACATTGCAGAATCATCAGAGAAAAGGATGGGGAAGACAGGAGTGTTTACTTTGTTGGGTTATTGCTTTGCTTTTTACAATTTCTACAAAGGGAGGAGATCAACACAGAAAGAAAGAAGATTCATTCTTTGGAGGGGAGTTTAAGTGACTTGAGGAGGATCTAGGAAGAAGCACTAGCTGGCAGATGGCTCAAGCAGAATTCAAACCCATGCCTATGATATATTAGTTATTAATGGCAGCCCTACCAAACTAACCCAGCTTCATTTGAAGACAAAGGCAACCTATCTGGGGACTACTGAGGTAGTTCCTGTCACAGTTTAAGTCCAGGGAAAGTAAACAAATGGAACACCTTAAAGAGAGAAGTTTTTGGCTTTTTGTAGCTTTTAGAGACAAGGTCTTATGATGTAGCCCAGACTGGCCTTAAACTCATGATCCTCCTCCCCTGGCCTCTCTACTGCTGCAGTTACTTGGTTTCGTTTCTGGTACTGTGGCTTAAACCCAGGACCTCATTCTATTGCTTGAACTTCACCCCCTGTCCAAAAGGAAGTTTCTTCAGAAGACTGTTAACTAGGGACTGAGGGTCTAACTCCAGTGGTAGAGCACCTGCCTATCAAGCATGAGGCCCTGGGTTCAATCCCCAGTAACATAAAAAGACTAATTATAAAATACGTTTTCAAATAAACACATATTTTGTGACATAAAAAAGAAACACACATACCTTATAGGAAGCTGCAACCCCTAGAGCGACAATGAATGCTCCAAAAATATGAACCCGCAGACGCTTGGCCAGGAGACCCCGCATCTGAGGCTTTGCCAACGCGCCGGAAGCCATGGTAGCAACTGTCCCTCAGAGACAAACGATAAAAGAGAATCTTAGAACACCTAGACCCTAAGACTCCGAAAGGATGCTCGCTGCTCACGCATTTAGCACCTACAGACGCAGGAACTGGCTCTTCCCACAAAGCCTCAGGTGACCACTGGCCTGGACGGCCTTTTTTCATTCTCTCCTATGCAGAACTGTCCCAAATAAGCCCGGTACGTGGGACACAACCAGTAACCAGAGCGACGAAAGTCACTCCCACCCGCAGCAAAGAGGAGTGGTAATTACAAGTGCAAACGTTCCGCCGCGTCGCTTCCACGACAACCGCGGAGAGCGGGGCGCGTGCGTGGTCCGAGGTCACCCCGAAAACGAAAACTCGGACGCAAACGTGACAGTCGCCTCGTGGGCCCACAGACGGCGGTCCCCGCAGACCCACGGCTCGGGGTCAGGGAAGCCGCGGGGTGCGGCCTGTCCTCCCGCGACCGGCCGGTGCCCCGCCTCCACCTTCCCCACACCATCCCCAAACTCAAGCAAAGTCCCCCGCGCGCCGGCGTCGCGGGCTGTGTCACCAACGCTCTGTCACCAACGCTCCCGCGGACGCCCGACCGCCCGCTGAGGAATAAACCACCACTCCCTTTTCACTGGGACCGGCGAGGTCAAATAACCTAACCAAGGTCACACTAACGAGGAAACACAAGAGAAACGGGCCTGCGGCCACTAGGAAGCCCGCCCGCCCCCAAGTCCCCCGCCGCCAGCCGGCCTTCCGCGGAGCTGCCGCAGCCCGCCCACCTGCCCACCGTCCTCCTCGGGCCGTGACCCGGCGTGCGGGGGGGCGACACGGAAGGAGGTCAGGGGCTCCGCCACGGCTGAAATGTGGAGTCACAAGTCAACCCCGAGGCAGATAAAGAAGGGAAGGCGGCAGCTGTGAAAACAAAAACACGGAAACGCCATTCAGACTCACCTTAACACCAACGTCCTTCCCGGTTGCTGGAGAAATGGACGGCGTTTCTGCACCGCGCAGGCGCAGAAGGAGCGTGCGCGGAGAGGACGTGGCGACGGAAGCCCAAGAAGTTCAAAAGGCAAAACGCGCCGACCTCCAGCTTCCTGTGTAACCTTGAAGAACTTTGACCTCGTAGTTTTTTAGTATATTAGAAAGAATAATCTTGCTCAAAAACAGTTATTATTAATTTATTAAGGAATTCAAAGATATTTATCATTACAAATTATCCTAAACCAAAGGATTAACCAAACCATGTGCACAAACCAACATTTTCATTATCACTACCTGTAAAGGTCAAAAAAAGGTGACTTCTAGATGCTCAGAGCCTAATGGGTGGGACAAATACAAACAGATTAACAGAAGTCATTCTCAGGCAGTGGAATCAACCACAGAGACGTGACCCAGCTACCACAGAAGCAATTATCGGCCTGACAAAGTTGAGCAAGTTTAATGGGTATTAGTGTTGGGTTCTTAATAAAAGGCAAGTGTTTTGAAGGAAAGCATCAGGGAAGTTTGTGGAAAGCTGTGTAGACAAGGAAGGCTCTTGTGCCTTAAGGTGCCTGGCTACTTTTCTTGAAATACTAAATTTACAAAACATTATGTAAGTCAACTGAGAAGCTTGTGGAAGATACATGGACAGAAAAGATGTATGATACTGAGTGAACATATTTTGATTGTGCACCTACTGTGTGTCAAGCTCTGCTATATAAGAAGGACAGATCTTTAAGCAGGTACTTCTTACAGAGCTTTTGTCCTCAACTTGCTAACAGACCATATAGGAAGTGAAACCTTTCAGCTTTCCAATAAGTGCTTATTGAAAGTCAGAAGTGGGTTTGGACCTCAGCAACATTTTTTGGCCTCTTTTCAAAAGATCTACCCATCTGAAAATGTTTATGTGGAATTTGTTCAAGTGATACTTTGTCCTCACTACCTTTCTATCCCTATCCCCAGCACCGGTCAGAATGAGCAGTAAATTTCAGAGTTCATAGGAATTTCTGTGTGTTGAAACCATCAGGGAAAGCTTCAGGGAGGATATAGAAGGGAAGGAAGCAGAGCTAAGTCTCAGTCCAATGGAGAGGCCTGGAAAAGTGAAGAAGTAATGACAAACAACATTAGTTGGAAGAATGTGTCTAAGACTAACACTCAGAGCACAGAGCCTGGCCTGGATGAAGTGGAGTGGTTGTTTAGAAACCAAAGGGCCAATCACATTAAATCCATGGTGAATGACTAAAGGTGACACATGAAGAGAATTTAAGTAGAGAGATGGTACATGTGAGTTCTGTTCTACACCCCTGTAGACCTGGATTTCAGTTCCAACTCATTGCCTTTTTAGCTAACAAATTGTCTTTAACTCATCTGAGTGTGCTTTCTCCTCTAAAACCAACTCTGTCAGTTGTGGTGCAAATTAAATGAGATAATGCATGTATAGTGCTTGTTAAATAAACATTCTGAATATGGATTTCTCCCTCTGTTCTTTTTGCCTGTCCTGCATTTCTTCTTTCCTTCTTCTAGTAGCAGTGCATGATGTCTTTCTAGGAATCAGCCCTTCCCCAAATCCAGACATGTAGTTCTAGAAAGGCTAAATCCTATCCCAGTTGAACATATGACCCAAGTGGCCAAACAATGTCCCCCACCCCTTTTGCCACAGTAATTTGTTAAGAATGAGCAGAAGACCCTGGCCAGGTCAATGAAACTCAACTCTACAATAAACAGACAATAAAAATATAGAGTAGAGATAAAAGCAATGGGAAAAAATAGAATAAAGTGGGGGTAAAGAAAGTCTGTGTGAAGAAGAATCTTTTTATATTGGAAGGTTGAGAAAGACTTTGACAATCTCACTTGAGTCCATAGTTTATACTAGAGTAAAAGATGGCTTGGTAAAAGAATTGGACATGTTCTGCATGGTCTCAAGGAATAAACTATGAAGGCTAGGATACTGAAAGTTATATTTCAGTTAAGTGTTCACAGTGGCTAGAAATCAGTCCCCTTTGAGGCATAGACTTCTTCAATAGAACCCCAGCAGCTCAGCAACTAAGAGAAAGGATGGACAAATGGGACTATATGAAATTAAAAATCTTCTGCACAACAAAAGAAATAGTCTCTAAACTGAAGACACCACCCACAGAGTGGGAGAAAATATTTGCTGGCTATACATCAGACAAAGGACTGATAACCAGAATATACAGGGAACTCAAAAAACTAAACTCCCCCCAAATCAATGAACCATAAAGAAATGGGCAACTGAACTAAATAGAACTTTTTCAAAAGAAGAAATCCAAACGGCCAAAAAAAACACATGAAAAAATGCTCACCATCCTTGGCCATAAAGGAAATGCAAATCAAAACCACACTAAGATTCCACCTCACCCCTGTTAGAATGGCTATCATCAAAAACAACAAATGTTGGCAAGGATGTGGGGAAAATGAAACCCTCACACACCACTGGTGAGAATGCAAGCTAGTATAACCACTCTGGAAAACTATATGGAGGCTTCTTAAAAAACTAAACACAGATCTGCCATCTGATCCAGAAATCCCACTCCTAGGGATATACCCAAAGGAAAGTGACTCAGGTTGCTCTATAGGTACCTGCACACCCATGTTTACTGCAGCACTATCCACAATAGCCAAGTTATGGAAACAGCCAAGATGTCCCACTACTGACAAATGGATTAAGAAAATGTGGTATTTATACACAATGAAGAAGAATGAAATCTTGTCATTTGCAAGTAAATGGATGGAACTGGAGAACATCATCTTAAGCAAAGTTAGCCAGACTCAAAAAGCCAAAAATCATATGTTCTCCCTCATATGTGGACTTTAGATCTAAAACAAATGAAGTAATATTATTGGACACAGGTCACATGCTAAGGGGAAAACACATACAGGAGGAATAGGGAAAGGTAGGAAACCCAAAACTTGAAAGTGTTTGATGTGACCACTGTAGAGGAGCTAATATAGTAATCTTAATTTGACAGAGGCCACTACAGGAAGGTGACCAGGAAGTAGGGAAGAGGTCTGGTAGAGACGAACCAATTCGGGTTGTAATATACATGTGCATGGAAGCAATGCTAGGAATCTCTCTATATAGCTATCCTTATCTCAAACTAGCAAAACCGCTCTGTCTTTCTTATTATTGCTATGTCGTCTCATCAACAAAATTGGAGAAGAGGGCAGAACAGGTTCTGCTTCGAAGTGAAGGGGGTGGGAGGGAGATGAAGGGGATTGGAGGCAAGGGGGAAGAAATGGCCCAAACAATGTATGCACATATGAATAAATGAATATAGTTAAAAAAAGAATTAAAAAAAAGAAAGAAAATGTGAGACACTGAGAAGAAACAACAAAAACAACTTCTGTATGAGATAAAATAGCAGCAGTGACAGCATTTGACAAACCTAAGGGGTAGACCTATTGGCTCTTTTCCATATAATTCATTCTACTTTCATATTTAACAAATAAAAGATTGCTGAGTTAGAGTTACATCACAGAGTTAAGAGACAAGGGAGGGAATTTCACTACTCATCGTCACTGAGAGCATCTAAGATTTCAGAGATGCAGAAGGATAAAGTAACTATTCTTCCTACTCTGCACACCCACTGATCAATAAACAAGAAACTGCAAGCAAGGTTCAACAGGAAAATCCACCTGCCTTTGGAAGGCATATTCAAAAATTCCCAGAGAATTGTATTCTAGGGACCAGCTGAGGATAGGGGCATTGGAAAACTTGGAACAGAGCCAGTGGATTTTGGGTGGGGAAGAGGGCAGCAAAACCATGCAGTGATTTCTTCTCAGTAACTTTGTCATTAACTAAGTAAATGTGATGAGTCATCATCTGAAAATGACTTCCTGATCTGGGATTGACAGTGCTCAACTAGTTCCAAGACACTTGAGACTTGTTTATGCCCTGAAAGGTAGGTCTGCAGGAGAGACCCTTTGCTGTCACTGATGCTGCCTGGCATGGAGCTTGGAAGCCATGAGAGGTCACAATGCAGTTGAAGGAAGGAACTGGCTAACTGCATCTATGACAAGCGATGGGGACACTCGAAGGAAATCTAGATATTTTCTCAAAAGTAGTCTTACAGGTCACCATAAGAGAGGCAAATAAAGTTCCAAATAAGTTCTTTAAAATCAAGCATTTTGCATACAAAATCTTACCTGTTAGAATAGTACTGTTCAATATAAACATAAGGCTAGCCATATAGATACTTCTCATTTTCTAATAACACATGAAAAAGTAAAAAGACAAGTAAAATTAATATTTGTCATGTATGCAACCCAATAAAGCCAAAATATCATTGGATTTTTTTGTTTCATGTTGTGTTGTTTTTGTGGTGCTAGGAATGGAGCTTAGGACTCTGTGCATGATAGGTAAACACCCTACCAGTGAGCTATATCCCCAGCCCCAAGCCAAATATTGTTTTGAAATGCCATTAATACAAAAAATTATCAGATATTTTACATGCTTTTTTCATACTAAGTCTTTGAAATCTGGTGTTTATATTTTCTCTTACAGTGCACATTTGGAGTTCTAAATAGCCACATGTGACTGTTTTGGACAGCACAGTTACAGCATTTTAGTCATGGGAAAATGTTCATGAGTCATTGCTAAATGAAAAGGCAGGCTGCAAAACTATGCTGTGTGATCTAATTTTATAACATATGCACACATATTACATATGTATTTATATGCAGAAAATAATGCTGAAAGAGCATCTACCAAAAACTCAGACTATTTTTATCTTATTTTTCTACTTTTATGTGTTGCAAATTTGATTGTGTATTTTATGTTCAGAAAAAAACAATAAATGTGATTTTTTTTAAAAAATGGTGAGGTACATTACTTTCCTATTGTCACTAAAACAAGTTACCACAAATATATTGGTTTTAAACAACGCAAATTCGTTATCTTAGTGCTGTAGTTCAAAAGCTTGACACAAGTGTCACTGGATAAATATCAATGTGACAACAAAACTGCATTCCTTTTGGATGCTCTAAGAGAGAAGCTGTTTCCTTGTCTTT